ATGAATGTATATAAGTACATGTGGTAAAGCGTTGTGTTTTAATGATCGCTCCTTCCTTTTGGCTTTCTCGTCATTCCGTTAATATCCCATCGTACTTTCGTCTTTCCCTCTAATCTCATTTATTCGTTCTTTGTGATATCTGTATGATACGCACATCAGTTGCCACTTGTCTGCCTTTCAAACGTTAACCCTCTCTCTCATTTCCGTATGAATGGGGTCCCTTCACGCTCCTCACGTTCTCTCTTACAGAACGCACCAAGAACGATCTCGTATTTCGTTCTGCGGGTGTCTCTTTCCACGGGCTTAGGAAAAGGGGGGAGGGGGAGAGGAGGAAGGGCAGAGGGGGGTCAAATCCGTCCCACTCTAGAATGGAGGGGAGGGGGGACTCAACTTACCTCTCCACCCCCTCCTCAACTTTCGAGGACATTCTCCGTAAACAAACAAACAGTGCAGTTCCTAGTTGTTGAGGACACTGACCCCCTGAGACTGAAAAGGCAGCTATAACAGTCTGGTGTTCAAAGGGAAATAACCATTATGTCAAGTATTATTTAGATAAAACTGTCTGAGATTTTGGTGAAGATATTATTAAATTTATCTCTTTAAAACTGCTAAATCCAGGAGCTTCCGGGGTTTCGCCTCCCTGGTCCCCCATCGGGGCGCTGCCGCAGCACTAGGACCTCCGGCCATTTTGGGGGAACCTAATTCGCCCCCCCCCCCCCACCTCCCGCCTCACAATACTTTCTTGCACGTGTCGTTTAATAGCTATGGGCCATAACATAAAAGTTTCGGGAAAGGGTAGGCGATCGCCTGGCGAAGCATCCTCAGGCGATCGCCAGCCCTTTCCGAGCGTACCACGAAACAACACTTTCGTCAGGCGATCCTTGAGCCCGTATTTCCGCGAGATCGAACATCGCTAACTTTGAACGACGCGGGAAATTTGAATTTGTTTACCCAGTCGCACGCGGGAAATTTGAATTTGTTTACCTAGTCGCACGCGGGAAATTCGAATTCGTTTACCTAGTCGCACGTGTCACCATGGCTTTCGCAGGTGCACCAAAGAGAGTTGCCCCTGTTTCTGCCTCAGATAAAGACATTTTGCTTGATTTTGTCAATGAGCATTATGGTGTTATTGGTGACAAAGCAACAAGTCACACAATGGCAGGAAATCGCCGAAAACTTTAATAACAAAACTGGGTGCATGAGAACTCCCCAGCAAGTGAGAAAAATCTGGGAAAACATCAGAAATAAGTTTACACGCAACATGAAATTTTTATACGCAATCATGACATAAAAATAAATTGCATTGAATCAGGTCATAACTAACCAAGTAGACTCCACCATTGGCATGAAGGTTAAATCATAAAATAATGTCGGTTTCTCATTCCTTTTCAGAGCTAAAAATAGTTATGCAAAATTAAAAAAAAAAAAAAAAATAAAATAAAACTGGTGGTGGGTCACCGCCTGTACCAATAGATGAAGACACCACAGGCGTTCTTATGATCATTCAAGAGGAACTAGATCCCCTTCATAATGAGTGGGATTCGGATGCAGGCCTACATGAGCAAGGTGATAAGATTAATAAATCATCAAAGATTTGTGTACATGGCATAGTCAGAAATAATGAATTGTATATCATATATCTCAATGTTTTTTTGTTTTTTTTCCAGACAACTCCCAAGCTAGATTTCTTTTTTTTTTTACTTCAAAGACGACTGATGTAGGTGAAACCAGCTACGTAACCTCAAGTGAAGAAATCTGCTGCAGTGACATTGATGACACTGAATTAGAACTGATTAGTGGACCCGTTAGAAACTCAACAGAAAATGGACAGCCCATCCATAAGAAACTAAGTGCAAAAACTGAAAAAAACACAGAAATCCCAAATTCAAATCTCAAGTGCTATTGAAAATTATTATAAACAGAAGATGCAGTTAGAAACTCAGTTAAGCAGACGAACACTAGAGTATTTGGAAGAATGGCATCAAGAAAAAATGCACATGCTTAGGGCTAAAAGAATGTTTTGGGAGAAGATACTGAAGGAGCTGGACTTAGATCATTAAAGGTTCTCATCCTCGCACCAGGATTATGTATCCATGTTTTGCAATCTTTTTCATTAATAAAAGTTTTCAGTTTTCTTTCTTTGTGTCACTCAAATTTGGTTTTGGATGAATGCTGTATTTTAAGGTTATTTATTAGCTATAAATAGTTCATGACATACACCTTACTTTATTTACTTTTATACCGTCATACTTAAAATATTTGACAATGTACTTGCAATAAGCAGAAAGTGTTATTTTGATAAAGGAAACAATATCAATTTTCATGTGTTTTTATTATCCATTATATTCAAGACATGAATTATGCATATCAAAGACATGGACATTATCATGAGGAATAGTATAATGAACACTCAAAATAAAACATAATTTTCATATCACGAGGGATAGTAAAATGTACAATCAGAACAAATCATAACTCATATCATGAGGAATAGTATGAT